AGCTATTTGAGGGCAATCAATTATCCATACAGTCAAAATAAAATCCTCTAAATTGCTCTGAATTAATTTAGTCTTCTTTTGCTGAACTACATGAATGGTACAATAATTGCAAGATTCTTTGTGCTGCATTCCACTGTGTCAATACCTGACACACTTGATGAACACTTAAAAGAAATATCTCTTACATAACCAAGCCAGGACAGCCCACGTGGGGTTTCTGTATGATGCAGTGTGGCCTTTTGAAATGTTAGACAAAGTGGGAGGAAATGTATATGTATGCATTCCAAATTGCCAATGTTCAGCAAAGTCAAAACTTCATAGATTATGGACCATTCTGTAGGATAGATATGTAATATTATTGATTACATATGTAAAATTAATTTGCTTTATAACATGCAATTGAAACAGAGGGTAAGTGTTAATTTAACTCTAGATAACAATACCCTTAATTTTAATACTGTAATATCAATACAATTTTAAAAATTGTGTGAGGAGAGAAACCAAGAGGCCATTAGTGAGAGAAACATAACTTATGAGACAACAAGCCTTGTTTTGTATTGTGTTCAAGAGCTTGAGTGATGTATTTGATGAACTTCACCAGATAGACTGTATGAACAGTAGTCAAGTTTTGGACAGACTTGGGCTTTATAGGAAGTTTAGAGTTGTTGAAGGGGGAAAAAAAAACTTCAGAACAAAGAGCTTCATGGAGGCTGGAATAGCAATAAAGATGTGAGGATTCCATTTGGTATCAGAAAAGATAGTAGTAATGCCAAGAATCTTGATAGAGATGAAGAGGGATTAAGAGTGGAACCATCAAGATAAGAGGTGATGGTTGTGGGCCAGTTTTGTGAGAGGCGTGAAGAAATGGTGCCTTGAAAGGCTTAAAAATGTTAACAAGATAAAAGGGAAAAGGCAAATTATTTCCATGCTCTAGTGCAGTTTTCCATCGCACAGCTGGCTTTATTCCAATCTTTGTTAAAAAAAACTCCAAACATTTCAAAAAGGTTTACGAAATACGCCATGCGTGAGCAATGCTAGCAAATGCATTTTTAAAAGTCTTCTTAACATGCAATTTGCTCATTTTATCCAGTTAGATAGAAATGCCACTTTGCTGGTAAATGCTCTAGAAATTCCCATCCATTGTATCATAAATAGGAGTAGTGATCGTGTGATTTTCGCTGCTATTGAGTTTGCTTTTTGCCACCCCCACCCTTTGCAGAGAAGGAAAAAAAGTTTAATAGACTGTAACATGGCTTCCCAAAGTGTCACACACTTTCCAAACCCATAGGAAGATTTGCAATTCAGTGAATATACTCTCGACTCTAATCTGAAATAATAGTGAACTTCAGAAACCCTAGAGACAACCAGGTTTGAAACTTGGTTTGAGAAAGGTATCCTCGAAATAGATCAGTTGCTGCATATGAGCCAGTGCACACTCTACCAAGAATCATCAATTTAACAGGACTTTTGTTTCCATGACCTCGAGAACGGATTCATCAATGCATTTGGGTTTCCAGTAACAAAGAGCAACCTGTCACCATACCATAAACCACTTCCTCCAAATAGGTCTACTTATTGATCATGATTTCCTCCATTTAACCAGAGAACACAGAAAACATACAGGAGATATAAATCCAGACACTCGAAAAGCACCACAAATGTACATCTTTGATGGGCAGAATAGCAGCCACACCAATTCCTGTTTGATGCCCAAGCTAAAAGTTGTTACAGCATCACTTTACACATGATAAGGCGCTATATCAAATACAGGGGTTATTATTATACAAATACAATATTCCAAAAGATCAAGAACCTATACTAAACAAATTAAAAAGGTACTTTAACACATCCTCGGACAGTTCAAATGTAACCTCATTTTAGCGCAGCTGCACATCCTCCAAAAGTGCTGTCGTGTGTTTCAAAAGTCCCCCTCCACCCCACCCCCACCCCAAAAAAAAATAGAAGCGAGTAATAAGTGTGTGTCTTTGCCAATTTACTGTCCAGTCGATCGATAGAACTCAATGGACAGCTGATCCCAACATTCAAGGGGGTGGGGGCAGCAGGTTGGGAAGTATAAAGTATTCGGGAAGATGGGAAGATGCTCACATTAAAAATGATTCTTATCGCCCAATGATAAAAGCGAGTTTAACGTTGTTGCTGCTCAACACCAGTGGGGTTTTTTTTCGGGGGGGGGGGGGGGGGGGCATTTAAAAAAAAGGGGGTTTAAATTATAATAAGAATATCGACCCCTGCAGCATCACACCTCTGATTTCACTCCAATCACTGGTGTCTGAGCTGATCCCTTTTTGGAGAACACCACAGACACACACACACAGAGACACACAGAGAGAGAGACACACACACAGAGACACACAGACACACAGAGAGAGACACACACACACACAGACACAGAGACACACAGACACAGAGAGAGAGACACACACACACATACAGAGAGACACAGACACACAGAGAGAGACACACACACACACAGAGACACAGACACACAGAGACACACAGACACACAGAGAGAGACACACACACAGACACAGACACACACAGACACAGAGAGAGACACACACACACACACACAGAGACACACAGACACACACAGAGAGACACACACTGTTTCTGGATGGGCTGAATGGAAAATAAACTGGAGACATGATCCAGAGATACAGTAACTATCTACATCCTGAAAACTAAAGGACAAACGCATATATATATATATATATATATACACACACACATATATATATATATATACACATACATTATATCTATATATTGCATTGCAGACAGGGCTGAAAGGACACCCAGTTCAAGGGGGGGAAAGGGGTTTACAGATCCGCAGCGACACGTGTGTCAAAATCTAACCATTCCCAGTTCATTGTTTCCATCCCAGATCGATAGAGGGCATTTAAACACAAATCTTCCCCCCCAAACACACACGGGTCATAGACAAGTGGTACCATCTCTGGGTAACGTTAACGATGTCCTGTGATTGGGGTACAACCTCCTCTGTTATTCATTCAGTTCCTTATTTTCTCTCTCTCTCTCTCTCTTTCCTTTCATTCCCTTTCCTGCGCATCTCTCTCTCTCTCTCTCTCTCCTCCAAAAATAATTCATTTCAAAACCAGGTTTGATCTGAAGGACTGTCTCTCTCTCTCTCTCTCTCTCTCTCTCTCCTCCCCCCCTCTTTCCACTCCACTTTCCAACCCCCTCTCCTCCCCTCCTCCCCTCCTCGGTTAATCGAGAAAGCCACCACGGTTTGGGAGCTGGTATTGTAACAGCAATCATCACCGGTATTAAATAGGTAACAAATATTAGAATGATTATGTCTGTGCATCATTCATTCCCTTTCACCTCACACGATTTTTTTTATTGCGTGTCTTGGCAAACAAACCACCATCTCCCTTGTCACACACAAACACACACACACACACACCTTTCTGAAGGTACTGAGTTAGAGAGCAATGAGTTAACTGGTGTACCCCCCCATCCCCATCCCATCCCCACTCCCCCACTCCCCCACTCCCACGCCTGTGTGATGGGCTGTGCAGAATATACCAGAAAAAGAGTGGCTGCATTTCTTTGCCTGCAATCATGATTCCCCTTTGCTCTTCACATTGCACGTAAAAAGGGGTGGGGTGGGGTGGAGTGGGGGGGGGTCTTAAAAGTAGTCGATTGCAATGGTAATTTATTTACCCCCTTCCTCTCCCTCCCTCCCTCCCTCCCTTCCCAACAACACATAACATGGAATCATCTGTCGATGGTGTCTGGAGCCGCACAGTCTAATCGGTCAATAAAAACCTGCAGAAGTGTTGGCGTTTGGAGTCCCAACACCGCCTTAACATCAGCCTCAGCTCTGGTACTGTGGTACTGCACACACACAGCGATGGGAATGAAAGAGCCATTTCAAAGTGCTGTGTTGTATTATTTTTTTTTTGGGGGGGGGTAATATCACCAGACCAGGCTCTGAAAAAAAAACAGGGCATTCCCCCCGAAAAATGACCAGCACCACACAACACAGCAAACAAACAGCAAAGCAGGTGGTAAAGGTGACGCCTATTCTAATCACAGACAACAGATGCTCGAGGTTTGCTCTGCACTGTACAATGCATCAATTTCTCCCAACAAAGCAACACCCAAAGCATATTCCACCCCTCTCCCTCCCCCCTCCCGCGCACAAAAAATAAACCTCAACTTGTTCTATGCATCGACACCCACCCAAACAACTCCCCCCCCCCACCACCACCCCCACCCCCCCACCCCCCCAAAAAAAAAGTGGAACGTATTTCTCTTAAATTGGGGTCTGATTTAAAAAGGGGATCTTCAGGCAATGATGTGCATTAACACAGACACGAAGTGGGAGCCACACTCCATCACCATTCTATTTGTGAAATCTCATCTTCGTTACACTTTGGATGGAAATAAAATCTCATGAAATGAGGGTGGTGCTGAGGAGGGGTGGGAGGGTGGGGTGGGGGTGGGGGTGGGGGGTGGGGGAGAGCGTTTTGGTTCCTGGATTCTTTTAATTCCTGCAAACTAGACAGTAAGTGTCACAGAGGGCAAGTGTGGCAAAAGGCAATAATATATTGCTGCCAACAGATTTTTTTTAACCGGTCTAATCTGCTGTATATGTGCTATATAACCGGTCTATATATGTATATATATATATACATACATACACAACACACACACACACACACAGAATATTTCCAACAACCTAAAACATTTATACAGGTTGGGACTTAAGACATCCACGAAACTATTCCCCCCACAAAAAAAAACACTTTAAATCAAAGCACAAAAGGATGATAACACCACATAATAATAATAATAATAATAATAATAATAATAATAATAACAATTCACCCCGATAGCGTGAATTATCGATAAGAACAAATGGGTTATTGATATTGACTACCCCCCCCCCCCACCCCCTCCCCACCAACTCCCACACACCTCCCCGAATGTCATTAAAATTTTACGCAAACCTGTCTGTCCCTTTCCGAGCGTTTTTTCCAGTCGATACGGTCCCACGTACTGTGCATGTTGGGCTCCCCCGATTTCTTTACCCGTTGACATTTTTCTGGCCAGTCTTTCAAACAAATCCTTTGCAATCCTTTCCACTAAATGGTACTTGTGCGGGTGGGTGTGCGTGTGCGTGTGGGTGCGTGGTGGTGGTGGTGGTGTTTTTTTTTAAAAAAATATATATATGTAGATAGATAGATAGATGGATATATATTTTTTTTTTAAAAATGCAAAATGCCAAATAAGAAAGGCTAGGATCCAAACACCATTGTGCTGACACACACACACACACACACACACACATGCACAGAGAGAGAGAGACAGACACACATACACACACACACGTCGGGCTTCTACACCATGGAACAGTAAGATAGGACGCCGAAGCCACAGAGCAGCCAGTGCTGGAGGAAGCGCCTCGACGCTCTCTGATTGACAACGCAACCAACCACACGCTGTGTGTGTGTGTGAGTGAGTGAGTGAGTGTGTGTGAGAGTGTGTGTGAGAGAGAGACAGAGAGAGAGTCACCAGAGCTACAGCATCAGTCGAGGCTCAGCAAGTGCAGGGACTCCACACACACACACACACACACAGAGAGCAAGAAATCTGGGCTCAAAAGTCAGCTTCTGTTTCTCAAGATATATATATTTATATATATATATATATATAGAGAGAGAGAGAGAGAGAAAATATTATTCAGTGATATCAAAAAATCATGATTTGGCCAATACTTTTTTGTGTGTGGGACACACACACACACACAATTGTTGCAATTGTTGCAAAACATAATCATCATCATCATCATTATTACTATTATTGTTATTTAATACAAATAATATTGATTCGTAAGTAATATGAATGATCTTTTTTTTTCTGGGAGGAGGGTGAATTGTGCCCCCCTCCCCCCCCCCCCCCAAAAAAAAAAAATAGTGTGATTATTGAATGATACGAAGTGAAGATAATATGAATGGACACTTTTTTTTTCCTGGGAGGAGGGGAGGGTCATTTTAGTGGCCAAAAAAAATAGTATGATTATTAAATGATATGAAGTAAAGATAAGATGAATGAACATTTTTGGGGGGAGAGGGAGAGTTGTTGCAAAAATAATATTTTAATACCTTTTTGGTGGTGATGGTGGGTGGGGGGGGGGTTGGCAGTTGTTGCAAACTTAATTTTTTTTATCCCAGCCAAATCCTTCCCTTTCTTTTTTTAAAAAAAGTACTTATAAAACTACATCCCCCGGCAAGCACTGTAGCTGCCAGCCAGGTACCTGTTCGAATTGGGTTTCTTTTGACTCAGTTATATATTAGATATATATGTATATTATATTATTGTTTTAAAAACAATTTACAGCCCCCCTTTCTCCCCTCGCCTTGCTCTGAACTGGGGTTGCTGTTCATTGCCAGCCTCACACTGTGCTGCAGGCTGTGGCTATGGGTGGGTGCTGCCAGCCAGCTCTCTCCAACCCACCCACCCCACTCCTAGGGGTGGTGGGGTGGGGTGGGGGGTGTGGTCTTAGGTGCCAGGCTTTCCAAAGCAAAGGTTTAAAGGTACAGGGAAAAGAGAGAAAAATAATATTGGACTGTATTTTGTGTTTCGCCCACGAAATATACGGTCCATTTTTCTTTACTGTGTGTTCTGTGAAGCGCTTTGAGACATCTCGACTTGATAAAGCGCTTTATCAAAATGCAAGGATTATTATTATAATAATATGGGAAGCATGGGGCACAGTAGAAACTCCCTTATTAAGGGCATCGATGGACTATCACTCCGATTAATGAAACAACAATCGTTCACTGTCATGATTATTCATATGACAATAATAATACCTATATTTGGTTTGGCGGCTTTCAAGTCAGGAGAACGTCTCCAAATGCTTCATAGGGGGAGTGTCGAGGGGAGTGGCTATGTTTTGTGGGAGAATGGGGTAGCCAACTTTTGGACAACAATGTCCCACAGACAGTCATGAAGTGATTGACCAAATAATCCTTCAACTGTCACAATTATTGATGAATTAACAATAATAATCTTTGACTGTAACCCCTATCAATTAAATAATTTAAGCGCTTTGAGGCGTCTCAACGACCTGATAAGGCGCTATATCAAGTTCAAGGATTATTATATTATAATAACAATCCTCAACTGTCACACCTATTAATGAAATAACAATAATAATATTCCTTGCATTTGATACAGCGCCTTATCATGTCTTCAAGATGTCTCAAACCACTTCAAAGTAAAGTGAATTGATGTTTTTTTGGGGCGAAATAGTTTATATTTACAATCCTTGCATTTGATATATAATACAACTTACCTTTATATAGTGTTTTCACATTGCTTCCCATAAAGATAAAAATAGGAGACTGGGCTATTGTAATAAAGTTATGGCCATGTTGGTTTGTTGCTCACATCAGTTTTGACATGAAACTGCAAAAGATAAGACAGAAACACCTGTTAAATTTACGTTAGGAATTAAAGAATTTGTACGGTGCATATATTAAATACGGTGCTTTATCTCTGTTGTTCAGTGGAAAACTAACATAATCCAATTTCATACCACATCATTCCCTTTGAATTGGATCCCTAAATCTAGGGATGTAAATAAGTCAATAGAGTATTTCAAAATTAAGTCACAGTTTTGTTGGAAGTAGCTTCTTAAAAGAAACCTTTACAAACTGAATCTGTAATTCTAAGATTCACGTTTCCTTCACAACTTGCAGTTTCATGTGCATATATAAATGCATAAATCCATATATAGGCTAAAAACATCATTACAGTGATTCAATGCCTTTAGCTGCTCCCTCAAATGGACATATATGGAATTACATATCTTAAACACTCACCTTTTGTTGGTCAAGCAACAGCCCCACTTGTTATCGTGGTGTGATACCTAACACTTTTGCAGTCCATTGTTTCACTTAGATGCTGGGTCACGATAGTTCACACTTATACTGATCTAAATTAAAATAATTTCTGCTCTTTGGCAAAGGCTATTTTACGAATAATTATGATCTACCATTTCAGGCACTTTTATCAAAAAAAAGGAATTGACTCGCAGTAAAATTGTTAATAAATACGACCGATATTTACAAACATAAATGGCATAGTTTGCTTTATTTACTAGATTTTGTTTACTTCATGGGTGAAATACTTCATTCAGATAAGTAGAAATTAAAATGTATATACTGTAGATAATTTCAGTTCATTAAGTATGGAAACTTTGGACTCAGTTCTTAAGATGAACTTTTACACTACACTTCCATAGTTTTGGAATTTTACATCTACAGATACAAAACTAAATGCATTCAATAACTAAATGTACCTGGGTTACGTTTGTAAAATTCGAGTAAAATTAAATTTAATATCCAGTTGATGATTATACAATGACAATTTATAGACAAAAACAAATTATATTATAGCACCAACAAATTATATTTGTAAAGCACCTTTCACGGAGTCTGGTGTGGGAGGGAACACGAGCTGCAGATTTCTGGGTGATCCATAGCTTGTGGAGGGAAGAGTTGGGATGGCCGATAAGCAGGGAGTTGGCGTAGTTGAGCCTGGATGGAATAAATGCACGGATGAGGGTTTCGGCCGTCTGAGGGAAGAGGTAGTGGCGGAACCAGGCGATATTGTGAAGAAGGGGGAAGGCAAATGGGTCATGGCAAGGATGTGGGGTAGAAAGGACAGTTGAGGGTCAAACAAAACTTAGATAATATCATGCATGAATGCAAGGAGATATAAACACAAATATTTCCTCAAAAATTTTGAGATTTGGGGGACTGATAAGAATTTTGAAGACTTCTTGATTGCAAGAATGGTTCTTGCAGAACTTTATTCATAATGGCAGGTGATGTCTATTAACAGGAAGGCTCTTAATTAATATTAAGAACTTCCAATAAGAAATTCTAGTCTTTTAATAATTGTCACGTTAGATCAAAGAATGAGCTTACATTTTTATTGCTCCTTATCACATTGAATCGTAAAGTGCTTTACACCTTATGACCGGCAATTAATGAGGTTTCTGAAGAGATTACACCTTCAAAGACTTTCTGTTTAATTAATTTTTTTGTGTTTCATCACCAAGTCATTATGTATCTTTGCCTAGGTAGTCTTTCCCTCCCCCAAAAAATATTCTATTGTTTCTTTATATTCAACCAGCGGAAGCTTTCAAAGACTAAATTGACCTAACTGATGATAAGTGTGTTCCAGTTTTGACCAACACAAATGTAAAAAGGTTACATTATTGTTTTGAATTCATAAGACTAAATTAACAAGTGCATTGCTGGAAATAAGTTATTGCGCTTTCAAATAAAAATAAGTGCATGGTTTGTCATACAGATGCTTGAACAATAAATCCAAGGCTCTCGTTTTCCTGTTAGTTATTTTGTATTTATCATGTTGAAGGATGACAGTGATGGAATAGAACACTTTTTCTTTACAACCAGTGACAGCATCAAGTGATCTTCCTATTCCTCTTTAACACTGTCTGTATCCTTAGCCTCGGAGGAATGCCATTTCACTGCACCAGAGTAACATTTACATTCCCCACGTCATCCATCCGCCAGCACTCTGAGTGAGGTTGACCAATTTGTGCTGAACTATCATCAGTAATGTCATGTGGATTCATCTGATGGAGACATGGTTGAGAGTCCTCAAACTTTTTTCATTTAGAAATTAACAACCAACAACAGAGGAGAGACATCTAGCCCGTCTCGATTTAAATCCAGATCTCAGTCTGAAAAAAACCTTTGTCCAACTTAGAATGTCAATCAGTCCCAGAGACTCAAATTAGGGGACAATCAAGTCATGTTAAAATAAAAACAAATCCTATTCAAGGAGTTATCATAATTGTACATTCTGAGTTAAATTTCCATTACTAATTTTTCTTTTCCTCCACTATTTTCCCTTATCTTTGTTTAAAAATAAACTTTGTTTCATTTTGAATCCCAAGTAAAGGGAATGAGGAGTAAATGGTAAAGCTGGATAAAATTAAACCAGGTCTTCAAACGGAAACCTGCTAACCAGAAGCATGAATGAAGCCTTTGGTTATATAATTCAGTTTAGTCTCCAGGTAGATTATCTGGTCTTGGGTATTAAACATTATTTTGT